CTACATCTGAGAGTGGATAGACAAGCGAAGTGATTTAAATAAATATGCTTGTACCATTATTCGTAATACATTTACCTGAGCCTTCCACAGCAAAACCCATGACCACAGAATACAACCAGAAGTCCCGAAACAGCTTCTGAAGGCGGGGCTTAGCCTCTTTGATTGGCGGAAGTCTTCGGGTCAACTGTAAATGTAAAACTTTTTAATAGCATGTTTAAAAATCTAAAATAAATTAATTAATAGATGCATAATTAAATAAGTATAACTGTAAGATATGATATATATTATACAAGATATTTACTTGAAATAAAATAAATTTGACATTCCCCAAGATGTACTGTTTCTATTTAAACAAGTGTGCTGATTTCTAAAGAGTTAAAGATTTTAGTCAGTCAAAGGACTTTTTGGTCTGTTTGATCTATTTTGTTTGCTCAGTCAAGAGCCCACATCAAAGTTCAATTTTGTATTCAATTCTGTTCTCTTCTCACAAACAACTGAGCACTCTCCACCAGCACAAACAAAAGGTAAGACAAACCAATTATATTTCTGTCATTTACAATACTTTTAATAAACTACTGTGACGTTGCATTCTTTACAAAGGTTTTAATTTTCTGTGTTAATATTTGAAGCCTTTGAGATGGAGCTCCTTAGGCTCACGTGTGTGGCCTGTCTGCTGGTGAGTCCTTCTCTCGCTGGGATCAAAGATCTCAGTTCTCACTTTTCTACCTCAAACCAAAACCCTAGAGGTTTTGAGCAGCAGGGCCCAGGGGATGTGGAGGCCATTCCTTTAGACTTCCACAGAGAGAATACCGTCACTAATGACCTAGTTTTAGACGGCTTTGAGGACGAAGACTACATCGATTTTGACAAAATCATTGCAGCAGGAAGTGATGACTATGTGTAAGTATTGCAGCAATCGCTATCAAACGGTAGGAAATGTTTCAAAGGTCGTCTTCTGGATCCTGTTTTTATTTTTAATTTTAAAAACAGATTACTACTTTTGTAACCCTTCCTACCATGGACCATTATGGACAAATGAGTGACTAAAGTGAAACAATATCAGACTTGTATATTCACTAACATGTGGTTTGTGCAAAGCAATTAAATAATAAGTGATCATTTTTAGTGAAGGAGATGAAATTGATGAGATTGCCACACCAGCGCCAGACATAGACATCTTTGCCGAGTCTTCTGATCCAAAAATACGCAGAGCAAGACTGTTACGACTATTCAGCAGTCGCTCTCGTCTTCAGCGCCTGAATGTTGTCAATGCAAAGTTTGGGTTCAACCTCTACCGCAGTCTTCGCAATGACGTTAACCAGACTGACAACATTCTGCTGGCCCCCGCTGGAATCTCCATCGCCATGGGAATGATGTCTCTCGGTGCAGGACCTAATACTCATGAGCAAATCTACAAGGCCATGGGTTTTGCAGAATTTGTCAATGCTAGCCATCACTATGACAACACAACAGTGCATAAACTTTTCAGGAAGTTGACGCACAGACTCTTTCGTAGAAAATTTGGCTACACTCTGCGCTCTGTTAATGATGTTTATGTGAAGCAGGATATCAAAGTCAGTGATGGTTTTCGTGAAGAGACAAAAAAGTATTACTTTGCAGAGCCACAGTCAGTGAACTTTAAAGACCCCAGTTTTCTAGAGAAGGCAAATCGTCGGATCCAGAAGTTAACCAAAGGCCTCATCCAAGAACCACTTAAAAATATTGACCCAAATATGATTCTGATGCTTCTCAACTACCTGTACTTTAAAGGTAAAATTATACTATATACATAAATAATAGCTTCACTGATTTCAACTTATGTCATAGTAAACATTGTTTTTAACCAGGCACATGGGAACAGAAATTTCCAAAAGAGATGACCTACTATCGCAATTTTCGAGTGAATGAAAAAATAACCGTCCGTGTGCCCATGATGGCCAACAAAGGCAACTACATGGCTGCTGCTGACCATGAACTGGACTGTGACATTCTACAAGCAAGTTTTTCTAATTTATATTTGAGACCCAAATAGTCAAGTTATGTTCATATGATTATTGGTTGGTTATTATTTGTTTTGGTTTGTTTTTTTTAGCTCCCATACACAGGAAACATCAGTATGCTTATAGCGCTACCAAGAAAGCTTACAGGCATGAGGACCTTGGAGCAAGAGATTTCCCCTACTGTAGTCAATAAATGGCTCAAAAACATGACAAACAGGTGAGTAGCAATGGGCAAAAACATTTAACTACATCCTAAATTAGTAAGTAATCAGTGAAGAGAAAACATATTTGAACAATTGTTATGTTCACAATTACAAAAATGTGAAAGCTTAATGTCAAGCCAATTATACAATCAGAAAGCAGAATTAGCCTAGTCAGTTTACAGGCATGACAGGGAACTAATGGTATCGAATTTTTAGTTGTGTTCCTATTGATAAAAAAAAAACTAAATCACAACATTTTACATCTATTTGAAATTTAATTTGAATGAAATGTGTTTCTACTCAGGACACGTGAAGTGGTGCTACCTCGTTTTAAACTAGAGCAGAACTATGACCTGATCCCAAATCTGAAGGAAATGGGCCTCACAGACCTGTTTGGGCAAAATGGTGATTTCACTGGAATGACTTCAGAAAAGATCTCCATGAATTGGGTGAGGATGACACAATTAGTATGAACCTAGATACCTATGCATATAACATACACACTGCCTAACCCTCCAAAATATTTAATTCACTAGCAAGGACCATGACTTAACAATAGTATGAAATGAAAAAAATTATAATCTGTAACCTGTCAATCATATGAACACAATATTGTTTTTTAATTGTGGTTCTGTTGATTTTTTCTAGCTAAAGCATCAAGGTACAATCACAGTGAACGAGGAGGGTACAGAGGCGGCTGCTTTGACTCAGGTGGGCTTCATGCCACTTTCCTCTCAGATCAGATTCACGGTGGATCACCCTTTCCTCTTCCTGATCTATGAGCACCGGACAGACTGCCTTGTGTTCATCGGCAGAGTTGCCAACCCTTCACAAAACTAAATCACGCATAATGCTGACTGTAGTGGGAGATGTGCCAAAAAATTAATAGCACAATGTTCTTGGAGACAGATTGCAGTAAAGATTTTTATCACGATTCATGTAAACTTGTGAACTATCTTTGTTTTGCCTTAAAGGGGTAACTCAAGTCCTTTGTTTTATGTCTTTTGTTTAGTGTAGAGCAGCATTCAAGAAAAACTTTGCTAATTACAATAGGGCGATCTTACCAAAATGACATATCGCCCAGCTCTATTTGACTGTCTAGCCTCATAACAACATATAATAGACAGAAATAGGATTTTTTTTTCTATGTTTTATTTTAGTGTAATTGATAAAAAGACAATACAAACAATACAGTTACCTTTGAAGTCAGTTTATTGTTGGCTAATGTTTTCATTACTGAATGTTGCCAAAAGTAAACTAATAAAATTTATTTGATATATGTTTTGTGTTTTAATATTTTTGTACAAAGTGGGCTTGTTAAAAGGTTATGCTTACTCACCACAGCAATAACTGGAATGAGGACTCCAAGGTTTCCAGCGCTACTTGAGGCCTACAAACATGATGAAAAGACTGTTGACTACTACCGTACACTGTATTAAAATGACTCTTTGAGTATATCACTTACTTTGAGAGCCGGCCCCTTATCAGAGGCCCTCTCACTGGCCCTCTTTCCTTCCAAACCCAGTTGGACAAACAGCTCTAAAAGATTCACCATCAGTTCATCCACGAGCTGCTCCCCTTGAAGGTTGGCAGCAATATTTGCCAAAGCATTGATAACTGCCAAAGAACAGTGCCTTAAACAAAAATACACAAATGTTAATACAGATTTGGCGATCAACTACTTTAGTTAAATTATCAAAGAATAATTTCAGATTTCAAAATCAGCCTTTCTGATTTTGAAAGCTGAAATCATCCTTTGAACCCAAATGCTAGATGTGGGCAACTAGACTTAACAATGCACTAACCTGTAGCCATGATCCCGGTAATCTTTGGTAGCAGAGTAGACCACTGAACTAGCTTTTACACTGATCTGCTGGAAAAGGTTCCACACCTCTTGGTAGATATATTGCTGCAAAAAGTAGGGTTAAGACATTGTGAAAGATGTATCACTTGTAATTTCTAATATATAACTTGTAATTTTGTTCTATTATACAATATTCAATTTATTCTGAAAGCAGAATTTACTGTCAGATCTTCATCTGTAAACCACCTCAAATTAACTAAAAAAATAGACCCAATTAAACTCATAGATAGCAATCATATAATTTAACTCACATTTCCTGTAATGACCATGCAACCGAGCTGATCTATTATAAGGACATCCAATTGTGATGGAGGCTGACAAAACTTTTGTTGGAGGATTTGAAGAATGTGTTCCATGACTTTGGGTGTATCTCTCAAAGCTACAGCGATGTGGCCCAAGGCTCGAATGGTGTGGTCTGGTATTAGGTGCGCATCCCTATGAAGGTTTTTAACAGTTTTTAACATCAAAAGACATATTTTGTGATGTGACATTCTAGATCAGCTTACTTGTCACTCTCCTGTGAAATGTAAAGACGAATGGATAAACTGGCCAGAAAAGCTTTAACAATGTCATCGTCTTTCGTCAGACCAGCCTTTAGACCTCTGTCAATTGGGAGAAATACACTGAATGCTTAAAGTTGCAAATTAATTAATCTTCAAAGGAGAGAAAGACTGATTTAGTGTCTGACCGGCAGATGTTATCGATGGATATATCTCTGAGCTGCTCATACATAGATGGTTGGTCCTTTTTGTTTGACAGAACATTCAGTGTGGACTGGGAATACTCATTGGTCACACTGATCCTGATTTCTCCTGTACCTGGATATGCATGTAAATAGGGTACACAAAACAATTCATTAAATTATGGCAATTCAGACGAGTTTATGCATATCTATGCACATACACAATTCCTGTTTATAACAATCAAAATGAGAATAATGTGAATAGGAAACTATTGAGTAGTAGCTACAACAGATCAATGAAACATGTGCTCAATGCTGGACAATATATCAAGCACATTATGTTCTTGTATATATGTCACTGACTCTTAAAACAATGGCTCTTGGTCACAAATATAAAATATATATTCAGCATTGTACCTGTGCTGTACTGACTGTGGTACTTGTAGAGTTTAATAAGAACAGGCGAAGGGACAACCAAGAAATCCCTAAGTGAGGTGGTGAGCGAGTTTGCCACAACTGGAAATCGCTCACACAGACGCCCAATTCCCTGTAAAGATTGACAGGATCTCAACACAATGTTTAAATATTGAAATAAACAAAAATGCGTTTATACCTGTAAACAGCAGATAAGGAGGGGCATGTGGGCAATGATGACTTTGCTGGAAGTTTTGTATTGTAGTTTTTCTGATAACTTTGTACACAAATTCTCTGCTCCTATAAGATGAAATACCACACATTCAGTAACCATAACCAGGGTAATTTAATTATGAAACACAAACATATTCAGTCATCTGCTAAAATCAATTACCTTGCTCATCTTTAACAGCCCACACCATGAGGTCGACACAGGCTGCGTTGGCTTGGCAACGGAGCTTGAGGGGGCTCTGTTCCCCTGGCAACCCCCCAGTGTCATGAAGTACCCTCTGCAGTTCTGACTGACTGCTGCTGAACTGCTCCAGTACAAAGTCGTGTACTTCTCGTACGAAAGCCGCTGGCAAAGCTTTGAACAAGCAAAGCATGATATATTTATGAACTAACGCACCATTCTGAATTAGTATTAAAAAAATAATTTAAAAAAACATAATCTACCTCTGATATGGTTGAGTGTGTCTCGCAGCATTTTGAACACACATACGTAGAGAGGGTCACTGAAGGTTTTGTAGAAAAGATGAATCCCAGGATGAGACTATTGAAACAAGAAGCAGTTTCCCCTTTGTTTATACAGTCATTTTACTGATCATATCAGTAAACCACAGTAGGCTACGCTGCAAGTAAAAGTGAGCAGAACCAAAATCTGTTGTGGTTTTGTATACAGAGAGTTATTGTATACCTCTGTAACCTCAGATACTGTGGCATCCACTGATTTCAGGAAGGAGTCTGAAACTAACTTTTTAACCTGTAAATTAAAAACAGATTGAAAATATTAACATGAGGAAGAGGTGAGCTTCAAACTGAGTTATGTTTGACAGTACCATGCCAAGTAGCTGCTTCAGCAGATCCACAGACACCTCCTCCTCTTGCTCTTCAGTGCACATAAACAGAGGAGACATGGAAAAACTGGAGCTGACAGTCGAGAAATAGAAGTTTGGGTCCACTGTGGTGCTTTCTGAGAGGTACGCTCCTGAAATCAGAATGGATGTTCAACATATATGTTTGTATTCAAGAATGCTTAAATTATTGTACCTTCAAAATAATGTGAAACAGGAGCTGTGGGAGAACAGGGAGAATGACCTCCAGGATCTGTGCACACCTTTGAGAAAACAATGGACATACAATTCAGGCAAACAAATACAAAGAAATTTATATAATTACAAGGTCATATTGTGCATTTTCAAATAAAACCTGTACGGACCTGTGAACAGGAGTCATGGCTGGTACCTGTGCGTCTCCTCATTGTATCACTCTGACACACAGTCAGGAGACTGGAGGGAAGGATGGAGCGGAAGTCATTGAAAGATCTGCGTCGTACTCCCTCAGGCTCCTCCACCACAGCATGGGTCTGAGGAGAGTCTTTGGGGAACAGTTTGGACAACAGTGCTTCATCTGTGATGCTGTAGCGTCCAAAAGCCCTGGTCATGCCCAAAAGGCTTGGCACCACATACCTACAGAGATAAACTATAGGAAAAAACAGAGAACAGAGGTCAGAGGATCCAGACATGTTTTCAGTTCTATCTATTTTGTGCACCTTTGTCATGATTATCAGGGATTTGGCACATCTCTTGCAACAGCTGCATAACTTCCATTAATGTGTTCAAAATCTGAAAATAAATATATAGTAAAAATGCATACAATTCCACAGTACCATGTCATACTGCTGCAACCACTGACCTCATCCTTGAAATGAGGATCTCGCTGAGCAACATCTGCTAAAAGTGTCACTAAACAGAATCCAAAGTTTTCTGCAACAGGCAGAAATTCTGCAAAGCAAGTACGGGCATTTTACTTACACAATAAAATTGTGCTAGGTCTTTTTTCATCATCTTAACAACATTCAATTCTACTGATTTTAAATGACCTGCTCTGTCAGTTTTTTACCATTTCCATGCTTTCTGGAGTTTTCCTCAATCCACTGAACTTGAGGCAGCCCTTTCAATAGGCTTAGTAAATAGGGAACAAGTATTTCTTTGTGCTGCAAAGAAAAAACATCATTAGGTACAAACGCTTGCACAGCATGGCACAGGAAACTCTCCTTATGTAATGATAAATCAAGTAGAATCAGATAAATGCCATAAATAAGTAAGCGATCACAATCTTAGGAAAAATAAATCTAGTTAATTGTTTGATTGATTGTCCTTTCTTGAAGTTATTCATTGACCCCTTTGCATTACATTTATTTACACTGTTACAGTTACAGATGTTAAATGAATACATACCTGTAATCCAGATTCTACCAGGAAGACCCCCAAGGCAACCACAGCATCTCGTCTTCTTACATCTAGAGTAAACACACCACGCACTTCCACTGGACACATGCATTGTAGCTTTTTGACCTGGAGAAGACCAAAAAAAAAAAAAAAAAATATATATATATATATATATATATATATATATATATATATATATATATATATATATATATATATATCATACAATTTGCATACAGCACATATAATACAATAACGTTACAGCACATGCCCAAACAGCATAAAACTTAAACAGGCGATACCACCTGCTGGTAGCCTATAGAAAGTATCAACAGGTAAAGACGTCGGCCTCTGTCATGCTTCGGCAGGAACCTGTTTGACTGCAGTGTTTACCTCTCCTTCTTCTCTGATGGTGCTTCAAGTTTAAACTTGACAGCAAATCCATACCATATACCCTAACAGCAATAACGCAATAATAATCACAACACTATGGCTCTTGTCACCTGTCAACACCATTAACCTTAAACACTATGAGCTGTGCGGAAGAGAAGCTCAATCACGCATATTCCTGTTGCTAATAAGCTTTAGTTGAGTGTAATAAATCAGACATTACCTTTTCGATTGGTGCAGGGCGGTGCGCGGCTAAAGACCGAGCTAAAGACAGAACAGTGTTAAAGTAAAATCCTCTTGTGCCACCCCCCATCACCGACATGTTTACACCTCATCTGTGCGATGAATCGATGGGAGGAACCATGGGAGGGACGGGCAGAGACAAGCGCTGAATAAACCGCAGTACGGTAAGTCGGTAGGGACATTTCTGAAAGTACTGCGTGAAATTATATAAAAATCTGATTATGTAGTAATTTGATGTAGGCCCATAGAACACGCAGTGGTCTATATTTTTTCGTTTTTACATAATAATAAAAAGCATATTAAATCTCAAACGTCAAACTGTAACGTCATGTCACGTGACCGGAATTTTTCTGTCAGTTGACAAGCAACAACAGCGTCTTGTCCTCACTGATCTAGTCGTTCGGAAAAGGTTTGATTTTTTATTATTAATGTCTCTTATGTATGTCAACATGGATTGTTTTCTTTAATGTAGTGAAAATTGTGTGTCTTTACAACTGTTGGATCGGTGGATATTTGGATTTAGTTCGTTCCCTGACCAACTGCTAATCAGCTAGCAATGCTAGTCGAAGTCATATTTTGCCTAATTTTGTAACACATTTTAACTACATTCATGTTCATATTTACTACAAGTTTGTAACAGTAGTAAAAAGAAATATGACGCTAAATACTTCATAAATTTAAATTCTTTAATGAAATGTATAAAGAGGTGGATGTTGCTTTATTAAGAGAAATGTGACCGGTTCAGTCTTTTTTTTTTTCTTTCGACAGATGGCCTACCCAAAATCCCACAACCCATTTGCTGATGATGACGATGAGGAAGATTTTAAGCCTAAAAAAGATAGAGGATTTGATGACGATGACTTTGGTGACAGTAGATTAAGTGAAGCAGAGAGAAGACAAAAGTACTTAAACCAGGAAGTGATGCGTACCGCTCAGTCTGCAGTGGACAGTACCCACCGTTCCCTTGGTCTCATCTATGAGTCAGAGAAGATGGGCATTGAGACGGCAGAGGTATGATTTGCTTGTGTTTGTCCAGTATTTTCATTTTTTTTGTATTTTACAGTAAATATTATCAGAATGCAAAGGCACAAATCACCCAACCATCTTCCAATAAAAACAATATTCCTCCAATAAAAACTCAATAATCAGTTTTAATTGTAATGCCCAATGATCTTTGCATACTTATCCATTTCACTGCACATTAGCTACATCTGTGGTTTCAGATATTATTATTATATTAAAATAAAAGAGTATCCTTTTTCTTTAGGAGCTCATGCGTCAAGGGGAAGTTCTGAAACGGACGGACAAGATGCTTGACAACATGGACCAGGACCTAAAGACCAGTCAGAGGCACATAAATAGTATAAAGAGTGTGTGGGGTGGATTAGTGAATTATTTTAAAGGAACACCAGAGACAAAGCCACCCCTTGAGGAGCCTAAACCTTACCAAGCCAATGACAGGTATACTTCTCCAATACTCTTTATAAAATATTTGTCATACTACACTTTTGGGCTGTAATTTACTGTCTAAAATGTACATTTTTAGTTGAATAAATTCACCCACAAGAACATTAACTGAAACTGAACATTAATCGAAACAACTCTAGAGAGTTTGATAAACAAACCTGTTTACTGTAGGTTAATGATCAAATGAAAAGCTTTGAGTCTTATTTAAAGTAAAATATTTTTACTTAATAACCAGTAGAAATTAAACAAATCTCACTGTTGTGCAGCGAAATGTGACTTAATGATTAAAATATTGTTTTTGGGACATCAGAATTATCATGCAATACAGTGTTCTGTAAAATAAAAAAATAATAATCAGTAAAATAAAATAAGCTTTTGTGCTATTGGAAATTAATGAGATTATGGTTCTTATAATCATAGACTTTGATTGTATTCCTATTACACATATGACCTTTGCTACTTGTTACTGCTCACTCATAGAAAAATTACCATAATTTATTTACTCTTTCAGATTGCAGAATGCCTTATCTGACAGTAGAGGCTGTGAAGATAAGTACCAAGCTAGCCACCCCAACCTGAGAAAGGCTGATACTGGAGGTTAGTTTGTCTCAACTTATGTTTCTGCTTTTTTATGTGTGATCAACTTATGTTTTGTTTTGGTTTGGGGTTTTTTCATAGGTTTTGGAGCTGCTTCATCTACAGGTGAAAGTTCTTATGGACAAAATGGTTACCCTAAAAACAAAGTACTAAGAGAGGCACACCAAACCCTAGACAACAACCTAGGTATGTTATTAATTGTTTACATTCAACATTTGGTTCTCTGTATATTATTACTCCTAACTAATTCTCACTTCGATTTGTACAACTTAGATGAAATGGCAGATGGTCTTAGAAGATTGAAAAGTCTTGGACTGGGTCTGCAGTCTGAAATTGATGATCAAGATGACTCCATTCATTCTCTCATGAATAAGGTTGACAACATGGATCTAAAAATTCATAACACAAATCAGCAGATGAAAAGACTGAAATAAAAATAGCACTTGGACATTTCTTGATAAATTCTATCTCATATTGCTCACTTTTAGGCTGATATGTTACATGCTTTTTTTTATTATTCTTAATTTGTGTGCACAGTCAAAGGTGTGCAGTCTCAGTCCACATATTAGCAAACTGCCTTAATATATAATATAAACTGATATGCATTACAGTACAGGCTGCCATGTAATGCGTTACTTGTGTCCTTATAGCCTGTTTTGTTAATTAAATTTTATATTTCCGTTTTTGTTTTTTTATCATCTTTAGATATTCACAGTTAATAAACGTTGTGTTAGCTATGTTTAGTAGCCATATTATGTGAACCACCTTGTGCGATCGTATTGTAAAAACTATGAGATTATAAAATACAAACATATCAGCTCTTAAAACTGAACTAAAATAATCTTACTTGCTTAAACAAGTGTGTTTGTTTTTTCCCAATGTGTATGAATGTGAATTTTCCAATAAAATTTCATGATCGTGACTATGCCTATACCTATTGACCACAAGGTGGCGCTAAAATAATATAAACCTCCTGAATACGTTTGGTACTCTTATTTTAAACTAACAACACTGTTAAATTGTAGGAAAAGGCACAGACACTGAAAACGGCCTGTTGTTTAATGAGGCGTATCCATGAAGACAAGCCAGTGATGGTTGCTTTCAATATGATCCTGACAAGTTTGTTTTCAATGCCGTCTAGTGAGGTGCAGCTGTGTTGATGCATAGCTCAGGTGAGGTTCTCTGTGCTCAAGGGTCTATTCATTATCATTCCTCCATGCTGGACCAGCTGCTTTTACAGGCCCTGCAAGCTCTCATTAGGATGCCCTGCTAATTGTAGTACAGATTTTCAAAAACTATGTTAAACTATAGTCCACTTCTCTCATGCAATGCAAGGGGAGGTGAGTGTTCATAACAGAAAGTTTGAAAGAGGTTAGGTAATGTTATGTCTGCTCTCTAAACTAATGTATTTGTTACATGCCAATTCTAATTGGATATTAATGGTTTCAACATTTTGAGGAGTTTTTCTATTCAGGAGATATGTTTTATTTGAAATTGTTAATTGCTATGGATACTGAGATAAGAATATAACAAGGTCTTGTGACAGCTAGAGTGTGCTGCAAGAAGATGGATTATGTCAATTAGGCATATAAAGAATAAAGTATATAGTAGCCTACACATTGTGCCCCCTCTGGGTGCTACAGGGCTTTGAACAGCTGTCTTGTACAAAGCAAACAGTGACCACTCTATGACAAAGGCTGGCAGAGCTGGAATGCCCCCTTTTCAGGAGGAGTAATCCTAGAACACACTGCTGTGGAAGGATATCAGGCACTGGGCCAGACACAGACCAGTGCAGGGAGTTTGGGTTAGGGCCACAGCAGCCAGGGAGGTCGGAGGTGAACAGGACATATACAGCACTTTAACTGCATTGTTGAAATAAGACAAAAGAAAGTTGTGCTGACCAAGCCCAGTTGTATCAGCGCTTATGGGAGATGAGCAGTAGCAGCAGAGAGTTTGATAGAGAACAAGTTCAAGTGCAAAACATCCTGAAACCTCTTATAATTTATGTTTGTTATGAATAAATTGAGGCTGGCTTTAACATTTCAGCAAGCTCTCTGGCTGAGCTATCTAATGGTCTTTTCGGTTTCAGCTGTAAAAAATAAGTTCACTATATGCTAATTGCTAAAATACTTATAAATTGTCTATTAATGGGTGAAGATTAATAGGTAGGCTACACAAAGCAAGGACAGTTCTCATTTGTGTTATATTAAGAAGTAGTAAACAAAAATCTGTTGATTTATTCATTCATATTACTCAGATTTTGATCATCTTTAATTATCTTCTTTTAGTGGACCACTTGCTAAACACATAAGATGGACCCTGTGTTTTTCTTGCTCTTCACTGTTATGTCATCCTTAAATCCAAAGAAAACATGTAACTGTCAAATAAACCAAATGTCTGTTTTTACACATGATGTAAACCTTAACTGTTTATCCCAAGTATATAGCTCAACTTGTTGGCACATTCCCCAGAAGTGTGTTACCTCACAAAACACCTCCTAATTGAAGGATATGGTCATACAAAACTCAAGATTACATACATTAGCTGTTTTTTGCTTGTCGTCATTCAGTTTACACTCAGGGAAGCATGCCAGGAATGAGCCTTTCTAATGGTTAAGTACCTGTTTATGGTATAGGTAAACATTTCAGTGAGGTGGATGGCAAGTCTAACAACCTGAAATTGAGAGGTTATATGTTTTATTTCTAAAAGTCAGTGTACAAAATATGCAATGTTGCACTACAATTATGAACAAAAAAAATCTGATTATAATAAATAAACACAAACACATAGGCTATAATGGTCATAGCCTTTCATAACATTATTGGAATGAGGAGGACTGGTAGCAGATTTCCTGGGAGTGAGGGGAGGTTTTCTTGTTAATTGATAAATTGCGTGTAACAGCTCTTAGTTAGATTGTGCCTTCCTGTTGAATTTGTACTAAAGCTTTACACATAAGACCTTTAACTCGTAAAAGTAGACAGGTGTTACTGATATTAGCACTAACATCAGTCTACAGGCTGCATGTGTAAATAGAAAAACTATAGGAATGTGGAGATTTTAAAAGGTGCACTGTGTAACTTTTCTGGAGGAAGGTGTACTTGTTGATGTTGATGTAGATTGGTTTGGTTTGGAATGTTCCACAGTATGCCATTATCTCCTTGGAGACAAGCAGTTGGTGCACCTGCCATCAGAAATCTTGCCCTTTAATTTGTTGATTCGGAGTTTAAATGTTAATTCTTAAAAAAAACAAAAACAAAAAAAAAACAAAGCAAACAAATTAACACTTGTGCCTTGTTTGTACTCCATTCAATTATGAACTCAACATAATAGTTAAGCTCCAGACCTGAGAGTCAATTAAGCTGGCATTGCATTTGGCATGTAGGTCACATGGTGTAATTTATGTCACACACTCATTAAATATTTAAGTAAAATGTAAAAATCCCTAACTTCTGCACTTTTTTAGACTGGACAACTTTAGGCACATTACATTTACAGTACATAACACCATCAAAATATAAAATGTATAAAGCAAAATAATAGACCTATTCATTTGTACATGGTGCATCACAACTTATGCACCTACAATAAAGGAGGTAGATAAGCAAAAGCAATACAGAGGCTTGTGTGTTTTAGGAAGAAAAATGACTTAATGTGGCTTTAAAATGCTATTGCTGTGAGCTTATTTATCATTGTCAATACAATACAGTGGAAATAGTGGCAGGATGCTGGTGATGTTCAGTGGTGTAAACTCTATAGAAAGTCTCTTGTAGCTTGTTTTGTGTTGCTCCTGTGTTTAGACAAATGGACTCACACAAAGAGCACAGAGTATGGTGGACAGTGACAGCCCTCAGACGAAGACTCTCTCACCCAGGAGCCATGGCAACCAGAAACCGAGGCTGCCACCCAGAAGGTCCTAAACCAAAAAATATATCAAGTAAGAAAACAATATTGTGATTACTGAGACTAAGACGTCATCATTTTGGTGGATCTGTTACATAGAACTTAGTGTGTTGCCCAAGGACACAATGACAGCATACCTCAGTTGGACATGGGGTAAAACCACTAAAATCCCTAAAATCTCAACCTGGGATGCCATTGGCTGCCATATATTGGACAACACAAAGCAAGGATCTATCAAGGCATCTGACTGGCTTTAAGATCCAAATAAAAACTGCATACATAAAATATTCTTTAAACATAAAACTATTTCTTCACACTGTTTTCTTTCTCTCCTCTACAGTTAAGGAGGTAATTATTTGACTATTTACCTGGACCCCTCCAGACCATCTCCTCCACAGCGGTCTGATTTGGACATGGCATCGCTCTGACACTCTGCACAGAGGAGTCTGTCCCTCACCAGTTGAGCACTCCACAGCTTCAGTTTACATGTGACGCTGGCCTGCTTCACTCTCAGGTACACACAGTAGCTGCAAAACCAAACAGAAAGACTGTGTTAAGGCTAATGGTGAGATCAAATTCAAAACAACTAGTTAAATGATTTTTAATCAGTAACAGAGCAGCTGGGAAATAATTTTTCTATAACTGACCCATGTGCAAACCAAACTGATTGAGTGTGCATTATCAAAGGGGTGCAAACATAATACATTACCATTAAGTGTTATTTTAGGCATCTGAAATGAGGGTGCAAGTCCTTTTAATTGCAATGCACCCTTTTACACTCCTGTAGACCCCAGACTGTGTTACAAACTTACTTCACTGAATTTATTCTTACCAGCATAATGCAATATTCAAAACTGGGTGGTATCATACTCATGATAAGGCCATTTCCATTTTTTGGCAAAATCTAGATTTTTTTTCCCCCACGATTTTACTCATAATGAGCTACAGCTGCTCATTTCACAATGAGTTATTTTGGGGTTTTTTCATATTGTCCTTTCAACATATTATTTGATGGATGATAGATATGGATAGATAAGCAGTTTGCACCTTTCTACTAGATACACATTGCTTTAGTATAGTTCATTCAGTTCTTTTAATAAAGTACTCCTACAGTACTCCTACTCTCTTAGTAGCAGCATTTAGCTCTGTGATTAATTCAGACCAGGAAGTCATCCAGATCAGCTGTCCTTGATCAAGACTAACCAGACACAGACACAACAAAGGCCTGAAAGAGTTGTGCTCCATTTGAAGGTAAGCCAGCAGGGCTAAGGTTGTCTCTAACATCAACACAGCTGTTTGTCAGTGCACTGCAGACCATAATAAAAAAGGTTACAGCCATCACAATGTACTTAGGTCTACTGAAGGAACTATTTGTTTTCCCACTGAATAATCAAGAATCAACAGCATTCACAAGGGAAGTTTCAGCCCATAAACATAACAGTGACACAGTGCATGTTCTTTTTTTAAGAGACGAGAGTTGTGGCATGATTTTTTAGTGGCAGCAGTTTATATGCCATATAGTTGAATGTCATGCCCCACTATTCATCCCCTCTTTTGCTTACTTCAGTACTGCCAGATAAAGCTTACAGATTACAAAAATGTCCTTAGAAGAAAATTAAGAAGGTTGCATTTGGTATATAAATAATTGCACGGTGGCAGAGGGAAGGTTGTAGAAGAGAACATTTCTAGGAAAATATAGTTGTGTTTACACAACCAAGACATAATAATGTAATTAAATATTGCATATATGTTGTAATCTAATTTATCATAATTGGGTTATCTTGTGTAATCTGAACATTTAACTGCATTCCTCATAAATTAGCAAAATGATCTTCCCATGTGTTTCCAACCATCCTATTGAATAGCCACACATTTTGGGGGGACTGTCAACCCCATGAGTAATGAGGTTATGAGTAATGGTTCCCTGACAACTCACAAAACTATATGTGATCTCATGTACAATTTAATTAGACAGGAACTTGACATGATGTTAGCTGCTCCTCTTCATCACTCCATCCATGTGCTGACCTTTTGCACAGACTACAGTGTTTATCAGTGAAGGTTAGCTTTTATAGTATAAAAAACCTTGATCTGTGTGTTTTATCTTTGGAAGAATAAAGTATTATTGCTAGATATCATTAACAAAAGAACAAAAATGCTAAATAAAATAATCACCATTATCACCTTATCACCATTCTTAGAGTAAGCTGTAGAGTTGCATGTATAACGTTAACATAAATACACTGATATGGTAAAACTTTATTGTCCAGAAATAAACATAAAAAAAATAAAAAATAAAAACCAAGTCAGTTAGAGCTGCATTATAACACAGACAAAGAGTGAATCATGGCAAAAACAGCATACATTGTCATGTTTTCAGTGCACAGTTCATAATAATAAGTAAATAAATTAATTAAACTGAATGTGAAATTGAATGTAATGTTTTAAATGATAGAAAATTAGAACATTACCTCATTTATATTAGTTAAAATGTGTAATTCCTGCATAAAGATCAGTGCAGTTTGTAATGAAATACTTGAAAGCCACAGGGATGTGACTGGGTTGACTTCATTATTGGTTAATACATACCTGGCCTTCTCCTCCTTCATCATCATGTGTGGCCTTCTCCATGGGTCCTTGAAGTTCCTCTTGTATGAATCAGGCAGGATCTTTGCCACCTCTGCAAATGTGCATATCATAACATTTCTTTTAAAACTATAAAATTTCAAGTTGTAATCTAGTTAGATTAGTATAACTTTTTCCAGTGTTTTTCTAGCAAAACATGTTTACAGCTCAGAACACTGGCGTATTTTGAAAGAGTGCAAACTGAGATAAGAGTTTGCACCAGATGTTTGCAGACCTATTGCTCAAGTAAAACCAGTTCCCCTGAGATTTTAAAACATTAAAATCTTGGTTTCTAAAGAACAGTCTGTTCACATTTCACATTCACTCATGCATTTAAAGAAACAAAGTCTATGATTTGAAGATAGACCTTTACCTTTGGCTGAGCTACAGACTGCGTTGTTTCCATAGCAACCGCGGCGCTGCTTGAGGTCCGGACAGGGCATTCCTCCGTTTCTGGGTGGGACGGACACTTGTCGACTCCTCTCTGTGCTGCCAATGCCACAGGGAGAGGTGCACGGAGACCAAGAGCCCCATGGGCCCACCTCACAGTCAATGGCTGCTGAGAGAGCAAGGAATAACATTGATTAACTGGGAATGTTATGAATAAAGGCCTAAACAATACACACAAGAAATAGAAATTATACAGCTGTTTTCTCTTTGTTAGCTGCAGACAATGCATTTGTGTTTTAAGGGGACATATGAAGAATTTACTTTTAACCTCATGTTCTGTCATTAGCTTACCCAGTGTGCTATTTCAGCTGATTCATGCATGTTTAAGTAATGCTGTATTGTTCTCCATTTGAAGCTTTAGTGCTCAGAAAATTCTTCTTTTCACCTACTTCCCATCCTCACCCACTGCTCTGTACTTACTTGTGATTACTCAAAAAAAAAAAAAAAAAAAAAAAATCATACACTGAATACATGTTATTCTTTTGGCTGTAATGTTCCAAAGTATGGCACTAAAGTTATCTAATTTACAGTTGTTTTTATTACTCAGAAATATCCTAAACACAAATGAGCTGGATCATTTCTTCACAGATCTGACCTGTATCTTGGCCTTGTGGTGTCATCTTCTCAACTCCATGGATATAGATAAATTAAGTGCCATTCTGAGGAACTTTCCAGGTAAAGCCATAACATCTTCAGGAAGCGTGGAGATGTTTATTATTATTATTATTATTATTATTGTTGTTGTTGTTGTTGTTGTTGTTGTTGTTGTTGTATTTTAAAAAAATAATTCTCTGGATGACACATGTAGAATTAAAATGCCATGAGGCAAATTTTCAACATTGAAAAACATGAATGAAAACTACAGTGATAATGAGTTTTGGAATTATCAACAAAAAGTTAAATTAATCATTAACCATCAACCATTATTACGACATAAGGGATCAATATAACTGGTCTGAAATAGCAATGTTGTACATGAAGGGGTTTATGCATTTATGAATTTATTTATATGTCTGACAAAAGCAAAAAAACAAACAAACACTTGAACCCATAAAAATAATAAGAATTATAATAATAAAACAAAATAAGTGTAGTGCAGAAACATGTAGTTTCTCCTGCTCTGTAACACTGCAATGAGTCTATATGGTGGTGGGCTCTTATTAAAAGTCTTTGGGGGATTCTTCTGCTTCCTGTTTTTTCTGTTTTTATTTTCTTTAAACAAGCACACATGCACACAAACACAGCACCACAATGAATGCAACAGTGGCAGCAGCAATCAGGAGCCCCTTTCAGTCGACTGATTAAGGCAATTACATCTGTGCCACAAGGAAGTCTGATGGCTGTGCTGATCAAAGCCAAATGTCCCAAACAATAATTACGCCTGTCCACCATAGACGTTTAATAGCAGTGGACTTTTAACAGGCCCCTTTGAGAGCGGAACTCCACACTTTATAAACAAAGTACCAGACTAAAAAGATTTCCCAGACAGGTTTTATTAGTATTCATTTGTATAAAATTTACTATTAGAGTTATTCAAAATCATGTTCTGAAACTCTTGGATAACTGCTCTGTATGAAACCACAGCTGGAATATGTGGAGCCAAATAACTTTCCAGTCAGTGCACAAGATGATTTTAAGCTTTTAATCAACTCACTGGGGAGCTAGTTATTGAGTTCTTATGTAATTTTTATGGTTCCATCAGGAGCTGTGGAAATGTTATTGCTTTGCTTGGAATATTCCACAGTAGGGCATTACACATATCTTTCTTGCATTCATTCTAATACAAATATATTTATTCCTAAAAGAAAACACTTTCAAATTATGCATTCTCACTGTGAGTGTGCTTTCCTCTCCTCTGATCTGGCCTCTAACTTGCTGCTACCTGCTTGGTATCTTAAAGAAGTTGGACACAAGTAAACAAACTCTCAATCCAAAAAGTAAGATACTTATAAAGGAATTGCTCTGTTCATGACAACAAAGCACACCGAAAATGAAAATGAGGTGTTTCATAAGCAGAGGTAAAAGTACAAGTATATAGTGAGACTGAACGTGCTATTAGCCAAAAGTGAAAATTATGTGTCTAGTTGTCTGGTGCTGATGTCAAACCCAGCAGTCTTCTTGGATTTCACTCATATTGCTACACTGCACTGTACATGAACAAAAGACAGTGAGCGAGTGCCAGAGGAAGAGGACTTTGAAGAGTCCGCTCCTGCTGTTATTCCCATGGGGCTATTGGCGGGCAGGCGAGCAGGCGGCTGTCTCAGTGACATCCACAAAGCCACTGTGGAATCTGTACATTCCTGTGCATTAGTGCTGCCCACCTGACACAGGCTGTTCCCACGTCATACACTCATACTGTGCCCACAGAGCAGAGGGGAAAGGGCACACTTCTTATCCTCTTATCAATGCTTTTTCCTCTTTTTATCAATAGTGTCTGTGATCCTTCCTTCTACACCAGACACCACACAGCAGTTATACAGGTTCATAATGTTCTCATTTGAAATTACAATTCACAATTTTTTAAAGAAATATAAAAAACATTGAGCCTCATTACCTTCTGTTCAGCACTGGCTCCACAAATGTACATATTCATCTAATGGTCTTTTCAACTGACAACAGTTGCACCTGTGTGATCAAATAATTAATATTTCCACAAACTCAATAAAATAATAATTTCATTAAATTGATGTATGCAGACAGAGAAGTTGTGCCTATTTTTTTATTTTGTTTGAACAGGCCCAGTTACATTACACGGCTAATAATTATAAATCAAGGCAAAATATAAAAATAGCAATCTAACTGTTCCAGTCCATTTCCACTATAGAATTAAAATCTGACATCCAGGAAAATTTTCAATTATTCATGGGTTTCATGAGTTCCTATAGTTGCCATTTTAAGTACTTTTCAAAATTCAAAAGACATATTTAAATTTGAAATGTTAATTGTTGAAATGTTAATATCATCAGTCTGAAAATATAGTATTTTTAGAGTTGTGATTTTCCATAAACCTATAGTCCAGCGTTACCACATATTCCTTGTTCCGGTTAAACTGAGGCTTAAATCTGTGCACACTGACCATAAGCTTTCAGGAGTCAGAGGCTAATTGCTAAAGCGGAGGCCCCTCCCGTGTCTGTGGTACCACCAGTGTAGAGCGAGTACCACCCACATGACAGCCTCACCCCCCAGCCCCCATGAGCACCACAAAGCCTGACCTCTGACCCCAAAGCACTGACCACATGTGGCTTTAAGCAAATAAAACTCATGTTCAGCTCAGGTTTCGGATATGTTGCAAATAAATTTGAATTTTACTGCTTAGTGTGTAGTAAGAATTTAACTGTTTAAATGTAATGTTGTATGTTGGTATGTTTCGTTTCGTGAGATTGCTAAACAACATATAAACTACAGACAATGTTAAAAGAAAGACACTTAAAGCTGCACTATATAACTTTTCGGTGGAGGGTTCGCCACTTGTCTTCAAGAAGATTTCTTTGCCTATAATGTTCCAGTGTATGGCATTTAAGTTATCTCTTGCATTTACTAAATTACAGGTGCTTTACTGCTCAAAAATACTCTGAAAACATGTGAGCTGGATTACTTCTTCTCAGATCTGATCTGTGACTTGTCCTTGTGGTGTCACCTTCTTGTCTCCATGGATATAGATAAATGTAACCCCATTCTGAGGAATATTTGAACCATGATTCCATAGTGTAAACTGAAATCAACAATGAAATTTCCATTGTGTCTATTAAGATATATGGATCCCAACTGACAAATTTGTCCAATACCAGAATTTTTTGGTATTGCAACTACAGTCCTACAACATACAGTATCATTCACTGTCCTTAGTAAAGTTCAAATGGAAGCCAGAGAAAGTGATCTGTTTATCTTGTTAGTAAAGCTCACACTTGTCCCAGACAGATAATAGACATTATCTTTGAGAACTGACATTCCTTAACATTATTCACTTTCTCTTCTATTTAATTTTTGAGTTTTGTAATAGTAATGATTATACAACTTCCACTCAGTTTGTTTTTATTTTTAAGTAATGACTTCAAATCTCAAATACCCCCTTTTTCTCCCCTGCCTCCTCTGATGGGGCATAGAAATTAACCTTGTAATACTGGACCGCACAAACATTATCAGCCTGTTAAAAGTGGTGAAGGGAGTCTGACTAAGCCTTAATAACAAGCCTGGAGTAAATGTTTCCTGTATAGACATATTAGCAAGGGACATAAACAAAGCAACTGATTACAAGATTTTGGCATGATCTTGCCAGTGGTTTCTTAAAGTTTCCTAAGAGAGACATTTGCTAACACTTTGAATAAATAAGCAAAACTGAATATTGGCTTTCCTCCCTTGAACAAGGGACCAAATAATACAGGATTGAACCAGAGATAAATAAGAACAGATCCAGCAATGTCTAAACTCAACCAAGCCAAACAAAGGACAAAATTAAACCTGTGTAATCAAACTATAAGACCAGACTGTAAAGGTGCATTATGTAACTTTTCTAGTGGAGGATGCACCACCTGCTTGTCTCTATGAATATATTACTGTATAACTTTGCCTGAAATGTTCTGATATTTTTATGGCCCCAAAACACACTAAAAACATGCATCCATACTGAGCGAGGTTGCCTCTCAACAGATCTTAGCTGTAACTTGGTTTGCCGGCATGCTTATCTACATGGAAATAGAGTTTAATGCCATGATATGGAACAATCCCATCTTAATGGCGACAAGCAGGTGGGAAAAGTTACACAGTGCCTCTTTAAAAAGCCACCAGAGGAATCCACCTACAATGATTCAAAAAATATCTGTGCGCTGATTTAAAGTTATAAGGAGAGTGAGAGGTCACAAGTAAATACCCTGAATTTTGCAGAAGTGAAAGTGGATTTATTTGCAGATAGAAATACTCTGTGTCTGTGGAGGAGGGCTGAGTAGTATCAGACCCAAGAAGCAGGAGAGAGTCTCTTCTGCCTCCTCCTTAACGTACGTCATCTTCAGTTGTCATAAGGGATATAAACCTCATTGTAAAATTTGTCCATGAGTTTCTGAATGATGAAACATTTGGAGCACTGCCAAAGCAATGATGAATTTAAAACAAAAAATATATATATTTTAATTTATATTTTGGGGGAAAACTTCTCAAAATGTTGGATATACCAGGAATATGAGACTACCTCAGGTCCTGTGCACTTAATCAAAGATGAATTAATCTTTAGATACCAAGAAGGAATTTCACCAGATTGTGTTTAAATGTGTATTTTCTCAATCCAATAATTAAATAGTCAAAAAAGGGTATTTTTACATATTATTTTACAGAAGAATTTTACAACACAACAGATGTCTTGATAATAAATGTTAAGGTAATGGTAAGGTTGTCTTTCTGTGGTGGTGATGTAATGTGTGTCCTCGCGTCACTGGGACTTGTGTTAATGGCCAACTGTGGGAGATAGTACCCAGGGCTGAAGACATGATCTGGTTCTGATAAAACCTGCAGAGGCAGGGCTTAAAGTACACATCCTCTGATTGACATGAGAAAGTCCCTTGTTTAGGCCTGCAGATATTCAGAATTCTCAATGTGAAGAGAGCAGGTGTCCACACAGTGTGAGGATTATCATAAAACTTGGAAATAGTTTAAAGGGATAAACAAGAATGCAGTAAAAGTTGGCTTACTCGTGTGTGCGTCTCCAAATTTTCCAGACGTTCAAATAGCAAAATTTGTATGTATTACGGTACAAACAAACTGCACATTATCGAACTGCTGTATGCAGTGATTTGTATTAGAGCTATGGTGTAATACACAATACATGCTTAGGGCTTGCAAAGTGCTCTGGCTTGTGAACTTTTGTTGTCACCTCTAATATAAGTAAAACAAAGGCTAACTGTGTTCTTCAAATGCACCTAAATAGAAGGATGAGTGTGTCTGCACTTTGAGAGCTTTACTACAGGTGCTTGTTAGTGCACTTAAAATAAAGACAGAGGGGATCCACAGGCTATTAACACAAATATTTCAACACAAGAGTTACCTCACTAACAGCTTTTCAAACTCAAATGCTGCTCATGCTGTAATTCTGACCTTCTTTGGGTTTGGCCAGTCCATCCTCATCATTGGCTAAATATAGCACGAGGCAAGATAGTGACAAGAAAAGAGACATCTGGAACCCAACAGTTTTAGTGGAAAACGTTATGGACTGGGGATGCCAATTTGCTTATCTTAATAATTGTCTGTTTGAAAAAGACCATACAACTATATATGAGCACATCATACGTGGAATTAAGATTTCGGAGCTCTCTAACCTAAAGTCGGGCTATCTTTAAGCGCAGGGGTGTAGCAGAAAGTAACTTACTCACCAGATATCTGGCACACTTGCTGGTAATCCTCGCAGCAGTCTCTTGTTTTCTGACAGTACGCATCGCAGTAGCACACTGTTTTTCTCTTTGTGTATTCAAAGCACTCGTTATTCCTCCCGGTGCAGCAGGTTGGCCTGTCCCTCTCCCTGCAGCCAGCCTCCGCCGCGGGAAGCATCATTCCGGACAAAACATATCCGACAAGTACAACGCTGAGGCGCGCCGAGCTCCATTCACGCGCTCCCATGACCAAAACTTTATGTGACTCCACTGACGATGGCTTCACCTCGAATGCACTTAGTGTTTTAAAGCGATTGCCTATCTTTACTCTAGACAACAAATAACATCCCACCAATAACCTAAAGAGCGTGGGTTCACCTACGCGAGTCAATGATGCGTAAAGTGGAGGCTGATCTATGTCCGCCTGGACACCGCCCCACATAGCTACTGTTGGCTGTTATTGGGATACACGTACATTAGCAGCCCACCCCCTGTCTGTCTGGGTGCTTGCGCAATGAGGAGGCCCGCGTGCAGCGTGGGTGGACCACCAGTACACTATCAAGGATGCACATCAAAGTTTGCGTAAAAGAAGTAGAATTTTTTTTTTCTTCGCACTTCATATAAAAATATACATTACTCACCAGAGTAAGGATAAATAATTAATAAAACACAAAGAGACCACGTTCAGTCAAACCTGTCATAAATGTCAATCAAGATGACACATTTAATTCAGCACCACGGACAGTTGCTCGAACAATTAATTACATGCGCCTTTACTCTTAACTCAGTTTGTTCACTAAGTAGCAACAGTCTTTAGGAATTTTACAACTCTTCCTCATCTACAAGAAAAGCGATAGTCTGCTTCACTGAGAGACCGGGGGCAACAATAACGTTACTTCCCCTTCACCGAGCCGCTCTGAATAGGACAGAAGCTGTGCTGTGGGTGAATACAGTAAAGGGCCGTTTGTATCAGGGTTACAAAGGACACTGGCCATTCAAGACAGCAAACCTCCATACAACTTATTGATGGGAATTTAACATCTGTAGGTCATATAAGACTTTGTTTCTTTAAATTACTTGTAGTAAAAACGACTACACTGAACAATCCACGACTCTTAGATTTGCATAGCTCCACTTTACCAACCACAATATCAACATACAGAACTATTTAACGATTTTAGTGCTAAAGCGCTGAACAAGAAATAAACTACAAGTATGCCTGGCTCCCTCTAGTGGCCTTTTTTCAAACTATAAGTCAAGAGATGTCACACATAGAAAGCATTTGGGATGAATTGAGGCAATGAGATAAACAACTTGGCGGTCTTATTGCTCAACACTATTCTCGAGTTATGGACTTCTAAC